ATTTTCATGCAAATTCTTTTGCTAGTTGGGGTTTAGTCCACTTCTATATCCTTCCCTTCAAGGCTCAGGAGTCCAGGATTATCTTCTGTGTCTGTGTTAATTGGTTTCCCTTTTCTTTGTTGAAGAGGGTCTGTGCAGTCTTTCTGCCTATTCGCCATCTTACCGGAACTCCTCTAGATTAAGCTTTTAAGATGATCTCAGAGCAACAATCTCGAGGGTCATCCAGCTACAGTGATTCTAAAAAGTCTGAATTTTATGAAAATGTATTGCTTATTTTCCTACATTTTGATCAGGATTCTTCTACAAACTCTTTGATCAAACCATTCTATGATGGTAGTCAGGTACCCTTCAGTTCTTCTAGTCTCACGGCAAAGCTGTCATGGAGACAATTGAGTTTGAACATTTTAAGGCTACTACTACATACCCAGAAATGCTGTACCACTTTACACTCATTTACATTCAATTCACATTCACTGTGAGTATAAAAGGGTATTTACAATGCCTTCCTCCCTCCCTTAATAGTTCTCTAGGTAGCTGCAGGGTACAGTAACAGGCTGTTGATAGGCTTTGCCCTTGAGATTCATCCTTAGCCCAGATCATAGATGCTTCTAGTAAAGCTTGTGCAGCATGTCCTCTATCGTATTACTCATGATCCAAGAGGATCTTTCTCTAGAGTGGTGATCCGTGAGACTGTTGTCTAGGAGGTTAGAAAACACCCCACAGTCTGTGCAAACTAGAGCCTGGTAAAGCTGATTTCATGGCTTTTAAACAATTAACTGTGGGACTGCAGTTGCCACCAGTTTCTGGGCTCACAGAGTGAGTGCTTGGAGATCCCTGTAGATCAGTCCCTCCCAGTCATTTTACTGATGGGGAAGCCAAAGGCCAGCAAGTGAGTGACCCAAGTTGAGACTGAAACCTGGGCTTCTGTTTGCCAATACATTGCCCTCCTTGCATGAAAGGCTCTAGACAGCAGGGTGCCCAGAGGTACCCCTCTGCTAGGATTAGCACAAGGGATGGGAAATTAACATAACTGTATATAATGTGGTGTGTGTGTGTGTGAGTGAGAGAGAGAGAGAGAGAGAGAGAGAGAGAGGTCATGCTTAGTAAAGTAGAGCGTCAGTGAAAGAGAAGATCCTCAATGAAATGGATTGACACAGTGGCTGCAACAATGGGTTGAAGCATAGCAATGGTTAGGCGGATGGTGCAGGATCGCGCACAGTTACATTCCATTATTCCATTGTACAAAGGATTACTATGAGTTGGAGCTAGCTCGACCGCACCTAACAGCAAGAGCATCTCATTATGTTTTTGTTGTGGTCTTGTAGGTAAACAAAGCGAACATCAATTTTTTGAGGAAGCTGGTTCGAAATGGCCCTGAAGTTCACCCAGGAGCTAATTTCATTCAGCAGAGACATACACAGATGAAAAGGTAATGCTTTCCAGCCTAGTTGGATTTATGTGCCTTCTCGTGATGAAGCTCACTCTCTCCATGTTCGGCCACAGAATGTAGTCTGAGAAACATTTTTCCTGACACAATTTGACATGTGTAAAATGTCTGTGTAAATTACAGTGAGCCCCTCAGTATATTATTGGCTTTGTTGGATCATTGCAAATAGATGAGAGATCAGTTGCTCACTCACATTTAATATGATTTGAGTCTAGGTGGGTAAAGTACATTGGGATTTGAAAGTCAATCATTACATGAGTCTGCTGGGCTCGAAGGGAAGAATGAGTTCAGTGTACTCATAATCCAGGGACATTCATCTCAACTCTGGCTTTTCACGGAGAATTTTATCAACAGGATCACGTGGGAGAAGTTGATTCATTTCTGTATTTCATTGATACTAAGACATTTTGTCCATATTTTAACATTTCGAAAACCAGGATGTATCTCACAGTCGATTATACTGTAGTTTAATTCACAGCTTTTTTCTTTTCTTTGGTGACATATGAAGTAATGATAGGTCGTGTAAGTGGAAACATCTTAGATTTGATAAAATACATTCATAGTAGAGATTGAATTCTGGTACAAAGTGGGAGAACTTGGAGGAACTTTGCTCTCTCTCAGACACCATGTTTTTTGTTGCACGTTAAGGTTTTTGAAATATGGAAATCGGGAAAAGATGGCTCAGGAGCTCAAGTATGGTGACATCGTCGAGAGACACCTCATAGATGGGGATGTGGTGCTGTTCAACCGGCAACCCTCGCTGCACAAATTGAGCATTATGGCTCATCTGGTGAGTTGAGGTTGCTGATTTATTTTCTGTTGGGTGGAAGCTTGCTGTGAGTGTTCAATGCTAAATTTTAGATTTCTAAAATAGAAATTGCCAGTAAACACCAGTTTTCATGACTTTTGATCTCCCTGCTCTCACTTTTAGTTTGAGTGAAACTTTTTAAATTTCAAGCTCTCCTTCAATGTTACTTATATTTTTAATGCAATATTCATACACAGCATGAAAACAGAAAGAAACTAATCAGAAATTAGTGTGGAAGTGACAAACATGATTTCGTTTGTAGACAAATATATACATATATGGTAAAAAATTAAAAAAAAAATGCAGAACAAAATTCAAATTTAAAAAAAGACCAGATTTACTGGTCTGAAAGAGACTCGAAGAACCCCCGAGATTATTGTCCTAAAACAAACTTCTAACTTGAAATTGAGACACTCTTGGAGGCCTCCTTTCAGCGGAATAGTAGACAAGTAGAACAATCAACTACAAGAGACCACAGGGCAAAGTTTGCCCTAAACCATAGATGAGAAGGACAGGGAAACCAGATGAATGGAAATGGGTAGTACACTGACACATGGCAGGGATTGCAACCAATGTCCCAGAATAATTTGTGTATGAATTATTAATTGGAAGACTAATTTGCTGTGGAAACTTTCACCTAAAGCACAATGAAATACTCAATTTGTGTGTGTGTGTGTGTGTGTACAGACATTCATAAATGCGCATAAACTTAAGGCAGAAAATTGACTTTTCACATCTTAGCTAAGGAACTAAAATGCTTAAAAGATTTTTTTTTTTTCAGTGATCCTCCAGTGAAGACTTTAAACCATGTTTTTGTGTGTGATTTAGTTTTGTAACACCAGCAATTCCATTTTCTGGAGATTTAAAATGGAAATGAGATGCAACTTTAATTTGTTAGTCATAAATTCTATCTGTAAAGCAATTCATCCAGGAGCCTTTGCAAACAATGTTTAAGCATGCCCTTAAGGTAGTATTTTTCTAAATTTAATCTTTTAGTTTTTCAGAGTACATTGTATCAGTTTTTATTTAATGCTGGAAATAACAAAGAAATAGTTTATGCTTAGGGAGTCCTGGTAACACAGTAGTTAAACACTCAGTCATTAACCTAAAGGTTGGCAATTTGAACCCAGCAGCTGCTCCATGGGAGAAAGATTTGGCCATCTGCTTCCATAAAGATCATAGCCTTGGAAACCCTATGGGGCAGTTCTACTCTTTCCTGTAGGATCAATATGAATCAACTCATTGGCAACTTCTGAGATTTTGTGCTTATAAGATTTTAGGGTGTTGGCTAACGCCTTCCCTTTCTGGAAACTTTGATGGAGTTCGGAGCATTTTAAAATAGAAATTTGTTTTTGTTTAAAAGTTTTTAAATATATTCGAAAGTGAAAGGAATAGTATACTGAACTATTATATAATGAACGGCGTTAAAGCAAACTCCCATATTCTCATCCTCTGTGTTCAACAGTTTCCAAGATTTTGTAGCACTTGTTTTATCTTTGTTCTTTACCTTTATTCTTTTGTGAAGCCAGATACCATGTGTTTCTTCCATGTATATTAAATTATTGTTGTTGTTGTTGTTATGTGCCGTCGAGTCGGCCCCGACTCATAGCGACCCCTCCTTGGGTTTCCGAGGCAGTATCACTACGGAAGTAGGATTGCCCAACCTTCCTATCTATAAGAAAAATACAAATATTTTCTTATATGACAACAGTGACATTATCACACTAAACAAAATTAACAGTCATCTTTGGTATTGTCTAGTACCAGGTCCATATTCAAATTTCCCCAGTTGTCACAAAAATTGCTTTCTACAGCTAATTTATTCAAATCAGAATCCAAAGTCTACATGTTGATACATGTCTTAAGTCTATTACTTTACCACTGTCACCCCTCTCTTTTAAAGTTCAGTGTAGTAACCTGAAGAAACTGGACCATTTGTCATGAAGTCTAGTCCATGTTCTCAATTTGTTCTTGTATAGCATTGTTTCTCCTTCTTCCTTTTATTTCTGTAACCTGGAAATCAGCTCTCAAGGTGTGATCAGGTTCAGATTCAACCATTAGGAATAACTCATAGCTGTTACTGGCTACTTTATGCTTTATTTCAGGAGGCACGTGCTTTCTGTTGCCACGCTGTTGGTTATGCTACAGTGATTAGGGGCTCAGATGCTTCAGCTTGATGTTTTCCTTTCAGTGTCATTCACTTATGATTGTTATGTACATTATTTCTTTGGGGCTGCCAAATGGTAATTTTCTAAGTCCTTCATTCCTTTCACTTTTAACCTGGAGTAATTCTTCAATGAAGAAATTCCCCTTGTTAAACTAGGGCTGTTGCTTACCCAGAAGTATAGTGTGTTACGGGAAAGCCACATAAATGCTACTAATTCTTTTCCTTAATTGTCAGTGTGACATTACTTCCAGCTAGCTTGATTTGTTTTCTTTTTGTTTGTTTTGGCTTTTCCTTTTTCCATATCATTATACAAACATGTGTTTTTATTCAGTGTTTTTTTTTTTTTTTTTAATTAACATTTGCCATTAATCTTTTTGATGTTCAAACTGTGACATCATTGGCCAGTGGGACCCCTTTCACATTGACTCCTATGTAGAATTAGTGTTTGCCTCAGGGTATTAAAACAAATTTGTTATTTTGATTTGATCTAATAAAGCTACCTGAATGAATTCATAAGTGACATAAATCATTTGATAGGACATATTAGAGATTTATTTACTTAATCTATAATATCCAGTTTTCTAGAAAGCCATGTTCTAATGTTTTAAAACTTAGAAGTTTTGCATGAATGACTGTCTCCTTTTCCTGTGTTGTATTGTGTCTAACAGGCCAGGGTCAAGCCTCACCGGACCTTCAGATTTAATGAGTGTGTCTGTACACCCTACAATGCAGATTTTGATGGCGATGAGATGAATCTTCATCTTCCTCAAACAGAAGAAGCTAAGGCAGAAGCCCTTGTTCTAATGGGGGTATGTAGGATGACACAGCCCAGTGTTTATGTTATAGGTTCTTGACAAGGGGGTTGGGCAGAGTGTCCTATTTGGAAACTCCACTCCAACAGGCAATTTCAACAAAGCCACGCTTTTCTGTTAACTTGACTACTAACCAGTTATGTCATTTCATCTCTTTTTACTCGTTTCTTTTGAGCCTTTGAAAGTTCTTTTTGGAAATTATGGTACTTAACTGAGTATTTGTAATAGGTGATTTATTGGAGGGATTGGGTATTATTTTCTGATCTACGAATATGATTTCCTGAGAGAAAGTTACAGTTCTAAAGAGATAAGACAACATTAGAGCCAGACCCTGGTATTGTTTTGGATATCATCAGGGAAGAACTTGTTGTGCATAAGTAGATTTTCTAATGTCTAGAAAGGAGCTCTAGTGATGCAGTGCCTATGGCATTTGACTACTAACCAGAAGGTTGGGGTTCAAACCCACAAGTCGCTCTGCAGAAGGAAGATGGGGCAATCTATTTCCATGAAGATTTGTCACCTTAGAAACCTAATGGGGGGGGTCACTGTGAGTTGGAATCACTTGATTTTTTTAAAGTTCTTTAAGCACCAGTACATTTTATTTGAATAATCTGAATAGAAACCTTCCTGACATGTATTACTTGGTTGTTTGTCTTCTTAAAGGACACACTAAACATAATCACTTTGTATTGACTCTTACTGTCATTTTATTTTGTAGATGGTTAAAGGAATGGTTACGCATGCTGGATGAGTTCAGTGATGAGTGAGGCAGGAGCCTGCTCCTAGGAGCTGTTGGTTGAACCCTAATGTTGTACTACATATACATGTGATATGTGTACTACACGTACTGTTCACTGTCACACCCAGCCATGCCCAGTAGTACATGCTACCTGCTGTGAGGGGCTCTTTCCTCCCAAACTGAACTGTTGAGATTTCAGTGTTTCCATTTTTTCTTTTCCAGTTTCCTGATTTATCTACTGATATGTCTTATGGTTAGGTGTTCTAACACCAAAAACACTTTTTACTCTTTCCAATGTGATGCTTATAATCCATTTTGGTTTAGGGTATTAGTATTGATTTAAAATAAACAGTATTCAGTTCTGTGAGAGAAGATTCTATATATAAAGTCCTTGTGGATTTGGTGGGGGACTGGGAAGAGAGACCGCTTTCGTGGATCTTGCCTGGGTCTTTCATGGTTGGAGTTGACAGAAATCTTTTCTGATAAAGAAAGTGCATACTGTATCACATGTTTTATATACATGTTAAGATTTTCTTTTGGGGAATTTAATATATCTAAGAAATTCATGTGGCTAAAATACATTGTTTTGTATTTATTCAAACATTATAGCATAATAACAGGAAGTATTTAAGTAAGGTAAAATTCCTACACATCACTACCCTTTCTTTATCTCCACATCTTGTTTATTTGTTCCTTAACTGTGAATTTAGATGGTTGTGGGCGTGGTTTATATAGTAGCTTTCGTTTTCCTTTTTCCTATTTAACATATCATAAATATCCCATGATATAGGGTCTTCATAATTGATTATAATGGCAAGTTAACACACTATAATTCATCTATCGTCTGTAACCCTCTGCTCTTCAAAATATAGGTGGCTTTCAAATGATTTCATTAGACTCTTAGACTTTTTAAAATGATTTATTTGATGCTGATTGTGCCTACTATGTACCAAGCACTCTTCTGGGCACACACAATGAATAAGAAAGTCAAAATTCTTATTTTTATCCCTATTTTACTGTGGAAAGACTGAGAATGAACAATTACCAAGTGGGTCAGGTGGTGGTAATAAGTGCTAGGAAGAAAAGAATAAACCAGAGTAAGGAGGAAAGGGAATGGTAGGGATCTTGTTTTTTATAGAACAGCTGAGGAGGGCCTCCAGAAAGGTGACATTTGAGCAGAAATCTAAAGAAGTAGGCGAATGAACAGTGTGGACATCTGGGAAGAACAGTCAGGAGAAGCTCAGCAGATGAAGAGGCTTGTGGTCTGACCATGCTTGGGATAGCAAGGACCTTGCCTGTTTTCTCCTAAGCCTCGAGATCTACAGCACTTGTGATGAGTGCTGTATTGAGTATTATTGGGTGGTGAGAGTAGAGAGAGTGGACAGTGGGTGGCAGGAGTGACACATCATAAGAGAGAAGGGGTGCACCCCCACAGCCAGAGGGAAAATATATCAGTACAATCATGTTTTCTGATGTAATGGTCTCTTTTCTGTTAAGCTCTTCTAAAGAAATAATCAGAGATGCAAAATTATTTATAGTAATAAAATACTAACCGAAAACCAACCCAGTTGTTGTTGAATCAATTCTAACTCATGGAGACCCCATGTGTGTAAGAGTAGAACTGTGCCACATAGGGTTTTCTGGAACTAGGAACTGTCCATCAATAAAGAACTGATTCAATTAAACTATGACTCATTTATAAAATGAATTCCTGTGTAGCCCTTAAAAATAATGATGTAATTGTATGCTTACTGGCATGAAATCTATTTATGATTTATTTTTTATTAAACAGGTTATGCATGTGTGATATCCTATTTTATTTGGTAAATGAGGCTTATATATTGGGCATATTGATTATCGTAAAAAGCTAAGATATATACTAAAATCTTAAATAGTAGTTCTTTCTCTTTGGCAATTCCATGCATAGTTTTGTTTTGTGTGTGGTTTTTCTTTTTATGTCTTTATTTTTATATTATTTTTCCTATAGTTGTATTATTTTTAGATTAAAAAGTAATATTTAAAATGTTGCTAGTGATAATCCCAGTGTACAGCCAGCCAGTTAGACTTTGCCATTGAGGATCCATACTGTAGATACTTTGTTATAACAACATACTTCATTGGTTGAAAATGACAGTGATAGTACTTAAAGTTACTGGATTGTATACTTTAAAATGATTAAAATAATAAATTTTATGTTGTATGTTGTTGTTATTATGTGCTGTCCAGTCAGACCCGACTCATAGCGACCCCTCCTTGGGTTGCCGAGGCAGTATCACTACGGAAGAAGATTGCCCAACCTTCCTTCCGAGGAGTGGCTGGTAGGTTTGAACCGCCAGCCTTCTGGTTACAGTCAAATGCCTTAGGCACTATGCTACCAGAGCTCCTATGGTGTATATTTAATCACAATAATTTTTTTTGTTTTTAATGACCATGATAAAATGCTCCAAGGATACTGGAGTGGAAGACTCCTCAGTTAGCCTCTGGACAGTGCCCTCAGTTTCATGTGAGAACATTATTATCAACTGCACTGACTCAGCAGTCCTGTCCTTGGTGGAGCAGGGGAGGGCTATACCCTGGGTGTCTGTTCACATTACCCAGGAGACTTTTCCAAAATTCCCCTATCTCAGTTCCGTGACTTTCGTCCCTCCTGCAGCCCACCCACTGTTCCTTCTCACAGAGTCTTTAAGCTAGGAGTAAGGGGAGCAGCCAAGAAAGTGTATACTAAAGACCTGGTTAACACTCTCCACCTTCTCCCTGGTGAAAGATGACTGCTCTGTGTAGTGGTTCAAAAGAAGGCAGTAAGCGAGAATTTTGCCAAACATTCAGAGAAGAACTGATACCAATCCTACTCAAACTATTCTAAAACAGAAAAGGATGGAATGCTCCCTAACTCATTTTATGAAGCAGGCATAACCTTGATACCAAAACCAGGCAAAGACATCACTCAAAAGGAAAACTACAGACCAATATCCCTCATGAATATAGA